TCCATGTGAACAGGCCCTTAATTTTGGAGGGTCTATCTAAAAAGCTGACAGCGTTACAAAAGGTTTTGTTTGTCTTTGAAAAAGGCGACCAACTTTTTTTGAATTGGCTACCACTTTGAAGAATTTAGGAGCCAAGTGGCTATCTGAAAAAAATTAATTTCACGCCCTGCAGTTAGGACGGAAACGCCGAAGAAGGTGTCGATTAAAAAATGAATTTATGTTGTAGTTAGAATTTTGCAAGACTGGATGTGTTTACCGTCCCTTACCGCATTGAGTTCCAAATGGAAACTGAAATCATTTGCCACATCGGTTCTGTTCTCAGACCATGCAAACTTTGGTTATTTCTCTTTGTGGTCATACAGAGGACGGCTTAGAAATGTACAAAGTTCTAAAATGCACGCGCTAAGCTATTGTTTTGCCCGTTTAATTTTTTGTATTGCCACGTCCTCGTAGCCCTCTTAGTTTGCTTGAGGTTCCTAAATACACTGTAAGTTTATTAGGTAACTTAACGTATCAATTAACAGTTAAACCATAAAACTTTTGGGAATTTGTATTGTTATTCAGGTTTGATTTTTTTTTAAATTGAAGAGGTAGCTATGTGTTAAATCAAAACTCCGTAAAAATCTACACACGAACGGAAAATATTTTTTCAAAGAGATTTATCACTACTCGGAGGGAAAAATTTGAATTTTTTGTGACTCAGGTCGTTGAAAATACTGTACAATAAGAACAACAACTCGTATGAAACTGTGGCGGTGAAGCTGATGACATTATATATTGGAGACATTATGTACTGGAGAATTTCGCATGTTATCGTATCGCGATACAGTTTAGATATTGAACGTTTGGAAATTATTATTTTTACTCTGGTTCAATTTCAGTAAGAAGCAAGAGATTACAAACTATTTATAATCTCCTAGTAAATAGATATTGCAAATATATTCAACTTTTTGTCGATAGACGTCTTGCCCAAACGCCATCTTTTCCAGGACGAGAAGAGATTTAACCCTTTACCCAAAAATTATCGCCAAGAAACTGCACCGATAGCTCACGGGTACCTTTGTCAGTTGCCTTGATCGCCAAAATTTTCCAGAACTCCGAGTGATCCGAGCTCTGGTGAATCACGCCTTTTACAACCTGCGGTGCTTCTTGCCAGGATCTACTGCATTCAATGCACCGTTCCCTTGCGTAAACAAATAACTCAAAAGATTCTATTCCAAATGCAAGATTTTCATCACTCCAGTCTCTCCGTCCTGTCAGCTCTCTCAGAAACATGAGATTTGAACCAAAAATCTTAAGAGCGCTTGTCTGTAAAAATCAGACAAATTCTAAATTTCGCGGCAAGAGTGAAAAATTCCATTTCTTTCTTATTTTAATATTAGATAGGCTAGACTATAACTAAAATCACTGGATACTTTTTTTGGCAAAATATCTTTTTATTTCAGAGAAAATACAAATAACAAAATTCCGTTAAAATCGACATTTTTAGAAGCAAATTATTGCACAAGTTTGAGGGCTTCGCATTCAAAAATGAGTCACAATCTCGTCTTTTTAACTCTCAAATCTTCTTTTTCAACCTCATAAGACCTCACAAAACGATTTTTGTATACACTGCGTTCCTCTTTGCGTGTAAAATAATTTAATTTCGAAAGCATACATTTCTCTTCAGTAAAAGTACTTTGTGAGCAAAGTTAATTTTCAGCATGTGCTAAACTTTCAAATGGATTAAGCTTTGGGCGATATAATAACGAAAAGATGTTCTAAATATTACTGTAAAATTTCTTTGGGCAAATGATTGAGAGCGATACGAGAGCTTTTCAAAGTCCGTTAAAATGCAATCATTTGACCTTTCGCGGTCAACATTCCAGTCGCGAGTCACACACATACTTTAATATAATTTCTTCCTTCATAACCACTGATAGTACTGCGACATGCCAATGCCCGCAAGGAGATGTAATGTAGTACGACCAACTTCTGAGGGTTGGCTTTAGAACACTCGCTGACCGAGACTTATCTTCTGGTTTTTCTTTTTCATTCGGTAATCCGATCAACTAATTGTTGCGTTAGTATCTTGTGTACCTTAAGGATTCTCTTTCCTTCACTTGTTGCGTTAATCATTTGCCCAGTTTTGCTATTGTCTGTTATTGGTTTGTTATCTTAGAACCTTTCATTCGATAAATAAGTCAATTTCTCGTGAGCTTTTAGGATTATCTTCTAATTTATTGTTAGGTTAGTGTCTTGCCCACTTTCAGGATTCTCTTTAATTCAAAAGTTACTTTATTGTCATGCGCATTTCAGCATTGTCTTCGATTGGATTGCTACTTTAGTATCTTTCACACTTTTATGCTGCTTTTATTATCGATTGCTGTATTGTTATCACGGGCACTTTAAGTTAAGAATTTGTTCATGTTTAGCGTGCCTATATCGATTTATGGATGTACGCGGGAAGTTTGGAGGGCGCGAAAAATGCGTAAGAGTAGCTCGAGGCGCAGCCGAGAGCCACTCTAGGTTTTTGAGTGCTCTCCAAACTTCCCAAGTGCACCCATAACTCGATATACGTACAGCTAAAAGCATGAGCAAATTCTTTTATAACAGAGCGACAACAAGGATCTACGCGAAGAAGCCTTTTATTGTCATAGAATGCAAAATTCTCACAACGCACAAAAAAAGTAAACAAACGTCCCTATTGGCTGGTTAAAAACACGCCACATTTTATTATTTGGTTTGAGGGAGAACATTTGATCCAGTTAACCGATAACTGTGAATGAAAATTTGCGAAACGTGCAAATTGCGAGTTTTTTTCGGCTTTATTTTTGTTGCTTGTTGGATCAGGACCTAAAAGGTCAATGCCGATAGAAAAATTGGGCAGTTCTTCGCTGGTTTCTTCCATATTTCAAAGAGAAGGAAAACTGTACTGCAGCTTAACAGGACGGAAAGCTAGGTAAAAAATTGATCACGTCAACTTATCTACGCACGGGCGTGCGTAGATAATTAATATTTTGTTCATAGCGGCTTAACAGGACTTATATAGGGCAAGCACGCGCGTTATGTTATAATTTCTCTTTCTCTCAATTGTTTGGTTGGTATCTCGCAGACTAAAAGCTTTTCTTTCAATCGATTACTACCCTGGTATCCTGGACACTTTTAGGATTCTCTTTTTTTCGGATTGTTACGTTAGTACCATAACCGCTTTTAGAATTCTATTTTGTAGATTATTACGTTAGTACTTCGCGCACTTAAAGAATTCTCTTTCGTTAGATTATTGCGTGAGTACCTCGCGCACTTTAAGAATTCTCCTTCATTGGACTGTTACGTTAGTATCTCGCTCACCTTAAGAATTCTCTTTTATTGGATTTTGTCACAGCACCTCGTGCACTTTTAGGATTTTCTTTCATTTAATTTTAACGTTAATATCTTACACACTTTTAGGATTTTCTTTCATCGGATTGTTACGTTAGTATCACGCGCTCTTTAAAGATTCTTTATCATTTGATTGTTGCATTTGTATCTTGTGCCGTTTAAGGATTCCCTTTCATTCAATACTGCTTCGTGCCCTTTTGCGCTTTTGATTGTTTGGTTCGTATTTTGCCCACTTTCGGGATATTCCTTCATTGGAAAGTTACGTTAGTGTCTCGCGCATTTTTAGGATTTTCTGAGATTGGATTATGTTAGTAGCTAATTTTTTAGCTTCTATCTCTGTTTTCTCTTTAAGTTTCTCTTTCAGTTGATTGTTACTTCGGTATCTCAGGCAGTTTTAGGATGTTCTTTGATTGCACTGTTACGACAGCATCTCCGCGCATTACCTATCTCGTAACTGTCTCGCGCAGTCTTAGGACCGCCTTACATTCGATTGTTACGTTAGTCTCTCCTTTAGCTTAGTATACTAGTGTTTTCATCCATTGTTTCGTTAGTATCTAGTGCCGTTCTATTTCTAGTCTTTTGTGCCCTCTTAGGATTTTAATCAAAGATCACAGGTAAGAGACTCGTTGATTCTGATGTTTAAAATGACAATGATTTAATTTCCTACACAGCAGGAAACGAATGACATGACCAAGACAACCTCTTTTTTACGCTGTCATCGTTCTAGAAATTAAGTAGGGGAAAAGATCTTTAACGTGCTACAAAATGGACACTAGGATGGATGATATGCAACGTTTAAGCTCACCTAAATCAAAGATGGCGTCTAGTTATCGACCGAGATGCATGTGCTGCATTTTGGAAACAAACTTAACGAGGAAGTTTGCCGCGGATTTGTCTTTGCAAATCTTTTTAATTCACTAGATCTCTTGGTAAGGGTATGATGAAACATTCTAGTCGCCAATTTGGCGACTAATTTTCAGGATTTGGTCGCCAAAGTGAAAAATTTAGTCGCATTGGCGCCTGTATTGGGCGCAATTTCACGTCCTGATTATACGATTTTTTGTTAAGGACAATTGACAAAACAGAATTTACGTGAAGACGGTTCTTATCTTATCTTATCTTATCTTATCGACGGAAAGCAGTTTTCACATCTTAAAAAGAAAAGCAACTTACGCTTCCACGTCCTCGAACAATCCAAGTTTACCCGGAAATATTTCAGACATGAGTACAATTACATATTCCAGGCCCGCCTTGCTGAATCGTTCTTCTAACTTCTGCGGATAAAATTAAAAGATGAAAGGATTCATGAAATCTGCTTTATGAGCTCTTTGGAAAAGATGATAACATGAATAATAACCGTCACAAGCAAAATATCCCTGAACTAGGGGTGTCCCCTCAATGACGGCATCAAATACAAGGGTTTTAATCAAAGTTTGTGTCCCTCAAGTAGAGAAAACGTTTAAATAAGGATGCCCAAAAAATAGAGATTCCTCTGCATAGACGAAAATATTCCACACATTACATCGTAAGAAAACTGGAGAATTTAAATTTAAATTTGCAGCCTTCCCCAAAGTTAATTGCATCAGAAAAACTTATATTTAGATGCGAGAATGACTTGATTTTATCCAGAGAGAGTTTAAGTCAAGTCTTAAAGTGCATTTCGATAGTGTGCCGTAATACCAAAAACATAGTAGTCACCAGCAGATGTCCAATCACTACGTTGGAAAATATAATCAAAACCCGATGGGAACTAAAATTAAAAGGTACAGTGAGAGCAACATTATTGTCCGAGTCACGATTGGTATTTGCCTTGCACCTGATTGGTTGAGAGGGTAGCTTGGATTGTTCACGTCAGTCAACCCATGACATGGCGAACTGATTGCCGATTACTTTCAACACACAACTAAAGGTTTAATTTTGAATCACACAAAGTAGAACTCCGTTCAAAAAGTATATTTACTCATAAAATTTTCACATTTTAGCTGTATGCAATACCTCTAGCACTTTGGACTTCCTTGCCTTCCTAATGTACTCAGAATGAGTCCAAATTTCTTAGCTCTTGATGCTGTAGTTATGGCGTCTTTCCTCGCTTGAAACATGGCATCAATATCGTAATATTCCCTGGAAAACACTTTGCTATAGGGATCGTATCTGCGATGAAAGCGAAAGTGCAGTAGAATTTTAGTACAAAGTTGTGTGTCTCAAAGGCCCAGAGAGGTATACAATATCTAACAATCCAAAGCGTACAAGGCGGTAGGGGGTCTGTTTTAGTGAGGGCATAGGGAAAACACTGGAAAAGACGGGAATCGCACTCTGTCCACACAGACAGTATGCCTTTACTAGAGACAAACAATTTTTTAATCGAAAAAGTGATGAATTTTTATTCACAGACTGATTACACGAAAGAGGTCTGGAAAAATCAGGCTTCAATGATGGCTCAATCTGCTGCCTCTCTAGCTGTTGAGCACTGCAACCAATTGAAATAATATGAAGCTACATGTTATGCAAGGCAAGGCTATTTGGTACACGTAAAGAAATCTGCCTTTTGAGGTTCTCTACGTTTACATGTATGCTGGTGTAGACGGGTTAGCAATCATGACAGCCTCTAGATGGAACCTTCCATCACCTAAGTAACTAAAAAAAAAAGTTTAAGTTTAAAGATCATTCCAGTGAAAAAATTGAAACAAGTACCTGCTGTGGTCGGTGGCATGTGCCTAAATGATAGCTGCTGCTTATAATCAAAATGGTAAATACAGTGACAAAACAAACATTTAACTAGGAATAATTGCAATAATAACACATTAATCAAAAACATAACACCCACTTATCTGTTTCCCAATTTAGTTTTTGATAACACTTTTACTCAATTTCCACCCAATTAAATGATTAACCCTTTCACTCCTATGAGTGACCAAGATAGAATTTCTCCTTACAATATCAATACGATATCAAGCAGACAAGTGATGAACTAAAGGAAAATATCAATTAGGGTAGTTGTAGTTCATCCAGCACCAAATTCTCCACACTAACATCAAAAGAAATGGTAGACAGTAAGGAGAATTACTAATGAGATCTTGGGAATGAAAGGGTTAATTGATTTTAAGTTAGTCCTCAGAACAAACATGATTATTTTAGTCAAAGTGGGCACCATTGTTGCTAGGCAACATCACTAAACAATAAATATGCCATGGACACAGCAGGAAGAATGCCAAACAATTCTTCCAGAAATAAGACAGAGGCTCAATGGGAGTTTTCCTGACAAAACAACGGACATGGTGAAAACACAAACAAACTGCCTAATTTTCATCCTAACTACAGTGATCCTTGGCTCAGAATATTGTTTTATTTATAAGCAAATAGCTTCAGATCTAATGGTGCAAATTTTTAATGAAACTAAACCACTACAGTACTTACAACTAGATTTGCCAATACAAATAATAAGAAAGATTTTCAAAAGAATATTCAATTTGTTTAAGAATACTTGCTATGAAAGAGTTGGTGCAGTTTTCTTAAATTCATAATGAACTAAATTACATAATTATTTCATTGTTTTGCTTAATAATTTTCTTACATGAATGCATCCTTGTGTTTTATTCTAGGAGCAGTGCAGCCCAGAATCTCTCCAGGTGACAATGGTTTACACTGCAGAATCTCTACCTGATAATCTTTACACAGGTCTTGATATACAGCCTGGGTAAACAACAAATTAAATACATATATGTCAAAATTATTTGAAAGTATGAACACAATAAAAGGAGACACTGGGTCCAAACCACAGGGTTTAAGTCTCAGCCAAGTCACTGTGTTGCATTCTCTCTCCCCTCTCTCTAGCTTGGAGAGAAATGGGTACCAGTGAGTTGTCATGGAAACTTGACAAAATGCCTGATAGAGAACCATGTGAGATGCTCCTCCCATCCAGAAGAAGCAGTCAGTCATCCGACTGTCGACCGACTGTCAACCAATATATTGGTTAAGTATCGACCAACTCTCTACCAATATATTCAGTCGAGAGTACTGTACCTACAATAAACATGATCCTGATACTGTCCTATCAGTGTAATCATTTAATACATACTTGAAGTGTTGTCACAAACTGGATTGTGCTCAAAAGTGCAAGTGACTTTCCAGCTTCAAAATTGTGTCTGACTGTATTGACAAAATGTGTGGCATCCAGCTTTATGTCCACAAATACATATAACATCTTGATTCCTTTAGTTGAGTCAATAGGAACTATAGAACAATGAACAAATAATGAACCTTTTCACATTCTCTTACCTACAGTACTGTATATATGGTTACTAATTGTTTAGGGTCTTTCAATTTTGCATCAATAGAAGAGACCAAAAGTTGCAAATATAATGAGTTGAATTTCATGAGGGATATCTTGTGCCAAAACAACTTAGTCTAATAAAGTGTCATTTTCAGTCTTCATAACCATATTTGATAAAAAGAAAGTGCTAACTTGCAACCAACTATCTTCATGGTCATTGTAGTAGTAATAAGCTTTATTTGAACTTGCTTATTGTTTAGCACACGGGTGCTAGTTTGAGTGAATATAAATTATACATAAATAAGTCACAATTAAAACAATTCCAAAAAAAAAAAATTGATTCATCTCTTCATGGTTTTATTATGAACCAACATAATGACCAGCTCCCAGTTGGTTTGTTAGCTCAGTAATGGTAGAGCACTGCATTGGTATCGCAGAGGTCATGGGTTTGAATCCAGCACAGGCTTGAATTTTTTTCATACATTCATAGCCACTGATTGCAACACTATTGTTTGCATCAAAATACCATGCTACTGACATTGAACTGTTGTGTTGCTCAAGCATCAAAGTTATAAAGCAAGGATTCCTCAAAAAAAATATCATTCAAAACTTAGACATATCTTCCAGCAGAGAACAGAGAGCAAGGGCAATAAAAACACAGGGCAACTTGAAAGAACTATGAAGTAGAAGGTGAGACAAAGGGGACTTCAAAAGGTGAAACTGGGAGGTTAGAAGAAAAAGATCAAGGCTGAAAGGATTCAGTTGTGGTATAATATGAGTTTACATTATGATGAAGAAGATTAAGTGATGTCTATCAACATTTTTTTGAGACATTTAACAACCATGACAACTTACTCAAGCAGCTGTGGCCATAGTGAACCATAAGATCACAACAACCAGTGAAGTCATCAACACAGCAAGCACCATACGTGACATCCCCCATGATGACTGTATCACAACCTGTGAATCTAATACAAAAGTCCCACTGAGTACAATGGCAGTCATCCAGAGCTGAAAACCTGAGCCACTTTCTGTATGAATTTTTTTGAAGTGATGGGTGAAAAAGTATGCATGTGCAGATTATCTTACAGTTGTAATCCTTCAGAATCCACCATAAATCATATAATTATTATATCATAAATGAATAAAGGGGGTAAGTTTCTAAAGAAACTGTGGTGCTGCATTGGTGGGAGAGTATAACAGGATAATTTAGTATTATCAACTGAGTTAATAGCATAAATTGGCCACCATGAAGAGTTTCAAAGCTGATGTTTCCAGCGTTAGCCCTTTGCTCTGACAAAGGGCTAACACTCAAAATGTCAGCTTTGAAATTACATGATAAGCTGAACTATGCACACATTTTGAATGGTTTTTACTTAATATGAGCTATTGTAGGAGAGATGCATACAATTTACTTGACGTCACCATTGATAACATTTTGCTTTGTTACCACATAAAACAAATAGATTGCACTGCATTGCTATAGGTCTGTACAGTAATGGATCATGGAAGACGTTAAAACATAGTAAGACCATCAGTGACACACTATTACTGAACAGATACACAGCAATATGGAATCATTTTGTTAATTGACAAATGCCTGTTATACTTAGGCAAGCTGTCAGTAGGTAAACAGCTGGCTTGCAGTCCATTCAAAGTGAAATAATTATCAACTGCTACTTTTTACAATCCTTCCAACATATGAAATGTATCAAACAATTTATGTGTACAAATAACAAAATACAATTTTAAAAGTTTGGTAGGAATTGGTTTGAAATACCTTTCTAAAATGTCTGCTATTGTGCAAGCATACAAGAGAAGTCCTTCAGGAAACTGTAATGCCACTGATGATTGAAAAAAAAAAAACAGAACATGAAACTGACATTGATTTATGCCTATTGTGGTTGAAGATGACATCATATTTTTTCATTTTTTTCATGGCAACATTTGAAGGCCAAGGTCTGCATACAAGATCAAATGACAGAGGGACTAAAGCTTATCATGATTTCTATAGCATGTATTGATAAGGAGAACTGCATTTCCACCTCACCCTTTCTTTTGTACTCATGGAAGATGCCATTATGCTGCAGCATAATGGTTAGTGCGCTGGACTCTGGCTGGAGAGGTCTGGGTTTGAGACCAAGTACCGGTCTGGCTTGGTCAAAACACAAAACACTTTATTTTTACAGTGCCTCGATCCAACCAGGAGTATGAATGGATACTGGCCAATTGTCAGGGAAGTCTGATAAAATGCTGGGGAGTAACCTAGTGATGGACCAGCATTCCATCTGGGGGGAGTTGTAATACTCCTTGTTGCTTCATGCTATGAAAACCCAGATAAGCTCCCACAGGATCAGGGCCACTTAGCTCAGGTAAAGAATTCATCTTTTTTCCTTTGCACTCAGGTGGAGAGAGGCATTATGAGGTGGAGTCAAGTGTGTTGCATAAGAACACAGCAACAAACAAAAATTAACCACTAATGTGGCTTATTTACCTCTTTTAGCATTTATTTCTTTAATCCTCCACACTGTCTTGAAGATTTCAAAATTGTAGTTAGGAGGTAACTGTTGTAAAAGGAATAATTACCTCAGTCAGAAAAGTAATAATTACCCTGATCTCTATATTAAGTGAAAAATCTGATATATAGAAAATGAATTGTAGCTGGTTGGTTAAACTATTATGACCTGTTTTTGGGGATGACAATTCCAGAAAAATAGCAGTTACCTAGAACACAATCTTATAAATGCGTCACATTTCAAATACGCACAAAAACAGTACCAGAAATAAAAGTGGATGGACAACAATGGTTAATTCAGTACACAGACTGCAAAATTAGAATAAACTTGAAAAATAAGACCTGATTCTAAAATAACAATCCTACAGGCCTCAGTGATATCAAAAAGGATATAGGTTTCTGGAGAGCAACTTACAATACATTTATACTTGAGGAAGTCACATTTTATTCCTTTTTTTACCCTCAGTCTGGTGGCTGAAAATTCCCCATGATGATTCTAGTTGGATTTTATTTCACTAAATCAGTTGAAAGGGGCTTTAAATAAATTAATTTACTTTTTCAACCCTTTTACTTCCAAGATCTCATTAGTAATTCTCCTTACTGTCTGCACAACAATTATTTTGATGTTAGTTCTGAGAAGTTGGGTATTGGATCAGCTAATAATCTCAGTTTTGATATTTTTCTTTATTCTCATCACTTGTCTGCTTGATAGTGTACTGATATTGTAAGGAGAAATTCTTTCCTGGTCAGTTATGGGGTTAAAGGGTCGAGTGAACCCAGGGTCATGTGAAGTTTCTCATTATTTACCTGTTTCACAGCATCTTGCAGCTCAAGATTGTTTACAATCTCATCTGGAATCTGACGAACAACTCTTCTCTTATTTGCTCCTATTTCTAAAATAACAGGAAATGGAGGGCATTTCAATAACAGAGGGCTAAATGAATGCTTGACTACATGTAAATTTTGTAAAAGATATCTTGTAACTTGAAAACACAGTTCAAAATTTTAAGCTAGTTTGACAATTTAAACTGGTTCAAAAAAAATGAAAGCAAAAAAATTGAACCATAACAAATAAATAATGAAGAAATTGGAGCTAAGCGAAAATCTTAATTACCATATTTTCCCCCAGGCTCAGAAACTTAGGCATCTATACCGGGTCTACGGCTGAGGATTTCGACTAGTATATTGAGTTATGTGTAACTGTGAAAGGTTACGAATAAGGCAAACCAAAACAAAACAAAAACGAATTAATTTATTGGGCTTAGGATCCATTTATAGAGTACAACATGACTGTAAAATGTTTTTTGTGTGCAGCTTCAGGGAAGAAATGCGACCGAAAAAGGAAAATAGAAGATGAAATTGCGCTAAAAATCAGTTTTAGTGTGGGAACGATTCAAATCTGTTCCTTCTCTAGCTATTCGAACGTGAACGTATGCACGTGCACAGTGAATTACGAGCCAATATCAGTTACAATTTACCTGCGAGTTTGTCAGTCGTCTGTCCAGCATTAGACTTAGTTCCGACAAATCTCCTTCTTGTGTTATTCTTGGCAGAAACTCGAGTACAACTCGCTTTGTCCTCAGACGTGCGGCTTTCCAATGCTTCGGCCATGTTAGGTAAGTATGCTTTGTTTCAACGCATACGAAATGTTTAGTGTTTATTGTTTATCCGCTGACACGAAAATGCTGATCTATCGTAGTTTATATCCCATTTCCCATTTCCCGTCTCCTATTTTCATTTTCAAGCGTATTTGTTTCGTGGAAGCTTTTCAGTAGCCCCAGCCATTCTTTTGAGGTGAGAGAGGCCGAATGGATGATTAATAAGAAGTAAAGAAGTGAAAAGTAAAGAGCGCCCCCCTCTGATCACAAGAGGCATCTAAGGGTGAAGTGAACGCATGATCGCACTTAAGATAGCTTTCCAGTAGAAGTTGGAAACACCCTGTGTGGCAAATACGAGATTTGTGCAATACGATCGGACTATTTTTAGAGTTAGCAACAAGCTTGCGTAACTGAATAAGTCAAGCCATGTTTTTAATTTGTCAGAGAATGTGTTTTTGAAGTTTGACCATCACACTTCGCAACGATAATTGATAAAACTGTACAGTAAGAATCGCTTTTACAAAGAAAATCATTATTATCTGCAAGATCCTAATCAAAAGACAAGTGTAATTCCAATATCATTTGTTATTTCCCCTTTCTTTTTCATCATTACCAAAGAAGGCATAGCCTCAACTGGATTCCACAATCCTTATTGTAAATGACCTTGGTCCCATTCTTGTAGAAAGCATTGCATTCAAGCAATTCTTAAAGGGTCAAGCAGAAATTCAAACTTTGTTTGACCAGAACACGATATCGATCGGCGTTGCAGAATCAATCAATTAATCAGAATTAAACGGAGGGGAACCCCCTTAGGAACTTGTCTGGACACACTTCATGTAAAACGTAACCAGTTACTAGCACGTTCATCTTTGTGGTTACACCACCAAAGAAAGACTTACCCATCCCTAACGAAAATAGAGTCTAGAAACTTAGTCACAAAGGATTTAAAAATTTTCCCTCGTTTACATTGTTCCTCTCTACCACATTTTAAAGTATCTTAAAGATGTTGATTAAACACTTTTGAATAACAGTTATTATTATTTTCAACACTGGAAATGGTAGAGGGGTTGTTATATACGCATTTCCCAAAACCATCTCTCCAAGTTCGTCAGTGTCGTTGTCATTGCACAGCAGGTCTACATCTACACCCGATAGGGAGTCCAAATCTGGAAGGGGAGAGAATTTGCTAGGACACCGGCTATACCTATGAAGTCGCATGTGGGTCTCACCTCCTGAATACTGAAAAACTTATGAAAGCCTTGCAATTCTTCGCAAAGATACACAAAAGATCACAGCCAATTGTACTCAAACCACTGATTTGACTTTTATTTCTTAACACAAGATGCATGGAAATAAATTTACGTACGTGTTTTTAGATTATGTACGTTTTTAATAAAGGAATAAATAACCAATAAAATTTAAACGGTTGAACCTGCGATGGTAATCCAGAGAAAGGCCCATGAAAAATTTTGGCAACAAACCTGACCAACAGAGAACGTCGCTATACGGGCTCGACATTTACAAAGTAAAATATAAGTTTCTTCATTACGTAGCACGTAGCAAAGAAAGGGAACATTGTTACAAGAACCTTCTTCTTGAATCAATCTAAATTACTAAACTATGGAAAATGATTGTATTAACTATCTGTAAGGATTTTATTCTTTTAGCGCTATCTAACTAAACACAGTTCTAAAGTCCGAACACGTTCTAAAATCATTCCGTGCAGAATTTTTATTTTTTACTTTTTCTTTTTCGGTGTCCATCTCTTTCCTGAGGCAACTTCGGCAAACCACTCATCACTCTTATCTTCTGCCATCGCCTAGAAGAAATAATGTCAAAAAGGAAAAATAATGATCGGTAAAATCTTTCAAAACACTTGCGTATCACAGATTAGGGAAAAAATTTGATGAACTTCGGCCCGCGAGAAAGCATGTGGCCTTGAGCTGCAAGAAGTCTGCAAGGACTCTGGTACTGATAATGCCTCGTTATTAGTGCCAGACCCCTGGCAAACCTCTCCACGACTCGTCTCAAATCAACCCGTGGGCGGAGAAATGCTCGTCGTGCAGCGCCAATAATAAGGACCCTGCTCACAGGCTAACTAGGTGCAAGAACACTTTACAAAGTTCAAAACTCACGTTCTCGGCAGTAGAACACATTTAGTTTTTTTCCCTTAACCCGTGGCTAACGGTGTTTGATGATTTCAATGCAATTGATTTGCCGAGTTCGACATGTACCTCTAAAACACGACAAATAAGCAACTCACTGTATCAAGAAGTTCGTCTCCTTTTGGATCCACTGTTGACAACTCTCTAAATGCTTCATCGCCAACAAAACAAATTTCATGTCGATCCTGAAATGAAAGGTAAAACAACACATTTAAATTTGAAGGTAGTACCAACGTTTTAACCAACAGATTGTCTGAGCAATGCACCTTGATGAATTTCCTATAGAGTGAAGGAGGAGGAAGGCATCATATTTATTTTCCAACAGGTATGCCCTACCTAAACCCACATAGCTCTCAGTTTCATGTACCATTTTTATGAAACCATAACATCTTTTTCCTAAACTATGATTTTTGCACTACACGGCAAAGGGCAAAAAAGAACGGAGGGAGCTCTCACATCTAATGAGTCTTTTCATCTGAACAAAAGATGAACTTCATTTTAGTTTTGCACTTTGTTTTTGTGATGACCATTTAAAAAATGGATATGCATCGCAAGTTTTTAGCTAAATGCATCAAGACATGGGGCTTGGAAATCTTTGAAAACTAATAAAAAATAGAGAAATATGTTTTTCGTCTTGTCACGAGCGTGGGACAAAGAAAAAATTCTGAGGCCCCAAGAAGAATCGAACCTAAGACCTGCAAATTCCGTGCTCCGATGCTCTACCACTGAGCCACAGAGACTCTATGATGAGCGAGGTCTATTACGTAGTTCATATGACACGCTTCCTGCATACTGCTAAGATCAGCCGTAAAAAAAAGCAATAAAAAAAAATTATCATTCTTAACATGCGATCAGAGTTTCTGTTGTTCTTCACATATTTAGCAATCTCAAACCCTTTTATGACTTGTTCCAGACCAGTTAAAATGGCTGCCATAAAACAAACCACCACATGCAAGGTTGTCTTATCTGTTATTCATAAAAGAAATGCTTGTAGACATACAGTAGAGATCCCTTTGTCAAAAGAAGGATTTTGTTTAAGTGATAAGTAACTTAAACTAACTTTTCCGTAAAGTAACTTTTGATAAAGCTTACAATAGCAGAATCAGCCAATACAACCGCTTTCACTAATGACGAGATAATATGATTCTTATCAACTGAGTTGATAATGTAAATTCAGGTCTCTGTAAAGAGATTCTAAAACTGACGTTTCGAGCGTTTTCCCTTTGTCAGAACGAATAGAAGAATTGAAGGTTGTGTGTGGTCTATATACAGAAAAATTGGAGCTAAACTACATGTGGGTATGGCAACGTGCAAATGAGTTGAAAAAAAAGGCGCTCGATGATAACGTGAGGATTAAGAGTGCCGATTAGAAAGATAAATGTTGGCTGTAGAGTTTTGCCGCTTTCTTGCAGCATCACAGTTTCTTTTGAAACGTACCCCCTTTATTCATTAAAAATATCTGTCCAAGACCTTTTGATTACTTACTATGAATCCACAGTCTATTTCTAACATGAAAAATTTATCCACTATGGGTGGGCCAGTGGCCCCAAATCGAGATATGTCCAGAAATGCATGCAAAATTTTTACTTTCGACATTGTCTCTACCAGAGATAATTGATCTAAATGTATTTGTTTTCGAAAATTGTAACGGTTATGATAAATTGGTAACAGGACTCAGTTCAAATTCTTGTCATCCAATTCTGTCTGTAATCAAACTCGTGATTGACAAATTTGACTCCTGCTTCGCGCTCGTCCAATTTTGTTAATCACTCGTTTGATTACAGACCGAATTGGACTCCATTCGGTCCTATTACCATTAGTATATTCACGCACCACGTATAAACCCTTTGTCATCCTCTATATCGGGAGCGCAAGAACTAAGCATGACTGATGGTGCATTTGGCCGATTCATCTCTATTTTCTGGACTGACTAGGTTATGGGTTTGTCTGAGTTGGTAATGTAAATTGGCCTCCCTGACGAATTTTCTAAAGCTGACGTTTCGAGCATTAGGTATTCGTCAGAGTGAATGTATAGACAGTGCCCTTCTTCCTCTACAACCTACCGGATCAGCTAAGATAACCACTTCCACTGTGGCCTTTCCTGGCGTGTCCAAACTGACAAGTGGTGTAAGTATTGTATGACCTTCATTTTTCACCAAAGATTCAATCTCTGGCAACTGTTTGCTTGGACATGAGAAAGCAATGCGTCCAAATGCGGTTGCATGATCAACTGGGTGTCCAAGGTGAATAAGTTCAAGCTTACACTTGTCTGAATCATAGCCTAACAATGCTGTTGTCTCTGTCTTTTCATACAGTGTCATCCCCAATAAATTTTGCCAGTATAGTAAAGATTTGGCAAGGTCTGAAACTCCAAGGGAAACTTTTTTTACTGGATCTGTTGAAGAAAAAATAGAAAAGGGTTTATAAATTATACTTCTTCGGCAGACCTTTTACCTAGCTTCGTAAGTATAATGCTAATAGCTGTCTATCACAAATTCTTCAATCTGATTGGCCACACTACTCTTTTCTGTGATATACAGAGAATTAAGTGAGAATCCTTACAATGTGTGCTTGTAAACCTGATCAAATTAAAACATAAACCTGTTTATGAACTGCTACTAGATTTACATGAAAACAATTTGACTAGCTGCTGTCAACCTTGATGTCCAATAGCTGATGCAGGCTTCACCATCATCTTTTATCGTGCAACAGAAGTCTCAAGCTCATAATCTTATTTTTGACCCTTAAACCCATCATAATACCTAGCATCTAATTCCTACTTACAATTTTTCCCCTTAATAAAACACAAAGGTCTTGAGAATAAAGGAAATGACACCAACAAAAGAGAATCCTGATTATTAAACAAATTCTCCTTGTGAGCACCATAAGAAATATAATAGTAAACAGTAGGGAGAATATGCATAAAGATGTCAGGGTGTAAAAGATTAATTAACAACCCTTTGGTTGGTTGCCTATTGTTTGATACTTATCACAGACCTTTCCTTACACCACTTATCATGGCTAAAGAAAACTTTTAGAAGACCAAAGGCTTGTTAGCTAACCTAAATACCAATAAAGCGATGCATTTTTACCAAGCATTAACCTTTGACCCCTGAGAGTGACAGGCATCTAATTTCTCCTTACACTATCATACTATCACCCCTGAATAACAAATCTAGGTCATGAGAATACAGGAAGCTTTTACTTGTTAAACAGATTCTCCTTGCCAGCATCTTAGAAAATATAAAGAGAACAGTGTGCAGACTATGCATACTGGCATTAGGATAACAAGCAATGCAGACTCCACATTGCTTATTTTTCAGCAAACAACCTTATCCAAGATTTAAATCTGTGAGGAGCTGATTATTTCATCATTTTTTTTTTTAAGACAGTATCCATGTAACACTTGAAGAAGGAACTAAGTTCACATTCATTCATATTCCAACTTACCACCAATAACATCCTGGTCTACCAGAGTAAACTTGTAACCCCCAGGTGCTTTGACAGTGAGACAACCTTCTCTTTCTTCCGTGACAGGGTAGCTGTGTTGCTTTGCATTTGACACAGCAGTCTTTGAGTGCACAGTTATTCCCTGCACAAACAAGAAATAGTCTTAAAGTGCTTGTTGCTTTTTAAACAAAACCTAAGCAATAACCTCAGTCCAAAATGACCTCTGCAGAGTTTAGTATATCTTGCAGAGGATAATTTACACTCAATAAACTTTAAGTCAATTTGCACAGAGGAAGGAATGATTATACAAAAAGAAATCAAACCCAGAAAGGCTCAGGTCTCAGTTTAGTTAGTTCTTTTAAAATCTTCACTTTTAGCCCTTTAACTCCTAAGATCTGTTGTTCATTCTCTCCTCCAGCTATTACACATTTCCTCGTAAATGAGTTATGAGAATTTGGTATTAGATCTTAGTGTTACCTGGTAAGTTAGAGTATTCTTATTACCTTTTTGATGGATAATGTATGGATATAATGGGGAGAATCTACATGTTAATCACTTCTGGGAGTTCGAGGGTTAACCTCAATGCTCAAGGGATTCGTGAAAACTTTAATTTATTATTATTATAGCAATAATCTATTTCGTTGTTCCAGAACATGAAAACCCCTTGGATAGTTTTTTTTTTTCATCTCAAGTATATAATTAAGCCACTCTTGCTGTCATTCCTTTGGAAAAGTCTGCTAATTTGTTGATGCTAGGGAGACACCAAATTTTAATTAAGGATGTGCTGTGGATGTAACCATCTGGCAAGGAATAACCTCAGGCCTGTAACTCTATAACCCCTAGGAGCGACTAGCATGTAATTTCTCCATATAAAATCACCCCTGAATCAAACATTAAGATAACAAGAACAAAGGAAATCACTGCCAACCAAAGAAGTTCTTGATTGTTAAAAAAATTCCCTTTGTCAGCACCTTAAGAAATGTATAAAGAACAGTATGGAGAATATGCATACTGATGTTAAGATGTAAAGAGTGAAAAAAAGGGTCAAGTTGGCATGTTATTTTTTAGAAAGGGAGGAAAACAAAAGGATCTATAAGAGCTCCATGATACAAGGACAAGCTACAACACCATCAACCAAAACAATGGCAGTTATTACTGGAATCAAACTAGCACTGTAAGATGGAAGGAGAGAGTTCTTACTGCCACATTACCCCTGTTAACCCTAGAAGAGGAATTGTATTTTTGTTGGCAGGGGAAAAATAGCCATTAAGGTTCTATATCCCTGGTGGTAGATAGTCACCTGAAAATCATTTCCTAGCTGATATGTTTTAATTCCATAGTTGTATGTCAGTTCCACAACAAAATGATCATCCTCTGGTCCAAATCCTGCCATTGTTTTACTCCACTTGCCATCATAGGGTCTAAAATAATTAATAAAATCAAATTGGTATATGTTATCAATAAGTGGCTACTGAACTAAACTTTCAAAAGAACCATCTATGAACATCAAAAACTAAGATATTATGTGTCACTCAACAGAATCCCACACTCCAATCAATTCAAAAGTAACATCTCAGAATTCTGATCTGTAATTTTCCTTTATTTGAAAGGTAAAGTGATGGATTTCCAATCTTTGGGTCAAGTTTATTTGGCAAATTGTCTCAAAATCTCTTGTCTAAATTACTGACATCCTTTGGGTTAAATTATGGCCAAATTATGTTTGACATGAACCACAGCCCTCAATTACACTTGATAATTTCTCTAACTGCAAAACAATACAGTTCTTGTATAAGGATTGTGTAACAATTTTAGATGCAAAATGAAGTGATTTGAGTAAAAAGTAAACTGAAAGCTGTCCAGAGGAAGTGGAAAGATTCTCATTCCCTATTTTTGCCAAGCCATAATACACCTTGTTTGCCCCCCCAAACTTTGGCAACACAGTTTTATCTAAAGGACTATGTGCCCCACCAGGAATGAAAAACAATTCTTAGATAAAATTTGTTAGTAGGAATGGGGGTAGGGACACAAATAACACTGGAGAGGTATAAAAAAAAATCTTGAATGATAAAAATGATTCATGCAAATACCCATTACATGAAGCTTTACATCCTTCTTCAAATTCTTCATGCCTCAAAACCTGTTGAACAAACAAATGAATTATATAATGTCTACCTCAGCTAAATGACTGCAGAGGGGGGTGGGAATGGGGGTGAGAGCTTAGGAGAAGAGAAAAAAAAAACAATTCATTGGTGGAAGGAGAAGAAAAGGAGAGAGGCTGGAACCTAGTGAGAGTGAGAATGGAGAGAGATTGTAAGAAAATTTTTCATCATGAAGGCTGGGAGATGACAGGGTGGCAGCAAGGGAGGGGAGGCAGAAGATGATGGTATAGGAACAGGGTGATTACCTCACTTCTATTTCTCTGCCATGATACAAATTTGCATAGAAGAAGGAAAAAAAATACACAAAGAAAAGCAGAAATGATATGATGTGTCACTCAAGCCAAGTCAATTAACCTGAAATCCAATTTTTTATTACTTAAAGCCAAGCATAGAAAATCAAATAAAATTAGGAATTCTTCACAATCAAATGGCAAGGTCAATACCAATATACAGTATACAATAATACATGTATTTTTGAGAAGACTTCCGTTGAGTTTCAGCAGATGTAGGTTTATTTATTAATTTATTTACTTTATTTGCCATTACATATAATATGACTGTAATTTACTACAATTGCGAAAGAAAACAAGAAAAGTTTAATGGCGAGGAAACCTCTTCACAACCAGTAAGGCTTGTAAGCTTATATTTAGTTCCTCAAGAAGAAGATGATTAAAATCGAGTAACCAGAATGCTGTCTTTTCTCAAAGGTTTTCTGATGTGTTATCCTTGTAACATTTCGGTTATGAACCTTAAAATTGATATAGATTTGAATATTTTGATAAACAGATGAAATAACTAAATGTGTGCTATTAAAAGCACATAACATCGGTAGGTTAACACTTGCTTCTGATATCACGGGACTATCACGTTATTACATTTCTAAAATCATTTTAAAATGTTCAAATCGTATCCATGGAAGACAAAACAACTACTTTTTTAGAGTTTAAAATTGTTGTTACAGACGATATTTGGTTCGATGGTAGCCAAAGACAATGCAAGTAAACTCAAACTCACGAGCAATGTTTCATTACCTGTTGGGTCAAGTTATACAATTTTGGATATTGAAACTGTTCACAGCTGTGCTTATATTAAACATAAGATTTAAGGAAACTTTAAATCGCGAAAGAGCGCTCAAAAAAAGTGATACTAACCTTCATGCCCAGAATTTCGCGATAGAATTTCATCGTTTCGTTTCTGTTGGCAATTTTAAAGACAAAATGTAAAGCCCGCCGAAGAGACATCTTGATGAATTTGATTGCAAATATTGCGTGACGTTTTTGGATATCAGCTATGTGAGAAACAAAGGGAGACTGGTAGCCAGTCTGATAGATATTTTTTCCCATTCAAGATTGGGACATTGACAGTTTTAAATGTAGAAAATGATGAAATCGGAGCTAACATCCGATTCCGCCCTACGATGCTCCACCTCTGAGTTACAGAGAAAATTCACTAGCGACTATGGCCATTGACCTTAACTCCGAGAAGTGATTAACATGTAATTTCTCCCTATAAAATCAATAACTTATTTAGAAAACTGGTAATGGCAATACTTAAACTTATCCGTTTAGAAGTTCTTATCTTGTTCTAACACTAAATTCTTGGGACTAATTCACAAGGAAATGTGCAGAAGTTCGAAGGGAGAATAAGCAATCAGATCTTAAGAGTTAAAAATCCACATTATTATGTTCACATTTTGACACGCACGTTCTGCACACTCCGAAGATCAGCTATTTCGGAAGTGATATCTTAGTAAATGGACGGTAAATTTTGAGCGCGAAGGTCTGGGGTTCGATTCCTAACGGGAACTTACATTCTTTTTCCTCTGCCCCAAGCTCGTGTCAAGACAAAAAACATCGATCCTTCTACCGAGCGCAAAATTTACCAGCTGTCTTGTTCTATTTACCCAAGTGTAAAATGTTCTCCATTTGGATTCGAAACGAACACCCTGTAGAACACTTTTAATTCTTTGATCCATTAACTGACAGCTCGTCAAATGTGGCTTCTCACGGAAGTAAATAAATGTAGTCGGATCAAGAACAGAAGCTTATAAGGGCTTTGTGCTCGTCAATAAATTCGAAGGCCAAGGTTTGAATACCACATACTTTCTCCAACAATAAGCACATATGGATTTTCGCTACGGATGAGGGAGATCACAAAGTTAGAATAAGAGAGGGGGGGACGGTGAAGCTCCTGAAGGGTGCCTGCTCTCCCTGTTACCCTTGTTTCTCGTTCCCCAACTCTTCGCTGTCAAGTATTTGTTCGCCGTTCTTGCTCTTGATTATGGCCAACAGCCAATTAAAAACCGGAGTTACCTCCTGTACACATTTGTTAACATGCAGCATCTGCTCTTTTTAATCCCATAACGCGTCTGGCTTGCAATTCCTTTTCACAGTATCACGTTTGATAATATACTTGCCAAAATTTCAATAAGCTCATTGGCTGAGAACACGTCAATTAATCCCAAACAGAGAAGAAAGTTGAAATTGAGAGCAGAAAGTTGAAATTAAATTGATTGACAGGTAAGACGCGAAAGCACGCCAAAACAAAATGGCGGACAAGTTAGAAGAAAGAAACAGTGATTAAATTCAGAGTTTGAAGGAGAATGCGTAAAACAAAAGCATTTCACGAAGGAAAATCAACTGGCTAAAAATTCTAGCTCTAATACGGATATAACATTATGAACCAGAGACCCTGAATAAATTTCAGGAGGAGTTTCACGCAACAGTTTGTTCAAAAATACGGGATGGGTTACGATCGTGATAACTTTAGTGTGATGGTTACTGCTGTCGACTGATACCAAACACAGAAAGAGTACAAACGCTCAATTATTCTTGCGAGAGGTCTTTAAAGTTTGGTTAGCCTTGGAAAAATTAACTCGTGTTAATCATCCCAAATTGCACTCGAAATCATGTGATTACCAACAGAAATCAAATGAAAAGGCGACGGGAATAAAGGAAATGATAACCAGTTTTATGAAGCTCCTGATTGTCAAACAAATTCTCCTTGTCAGTGCCATAGGAAAATATAAAGAAAACAGTGAGGAGAATTTGAATGCTAGTTTTAGGGTGGAAAGGGAAAGTCATTTCGGATCGTTTTTTTAACTACCAAAAATCAGATAAGAGACCTTCAAAAGTTTACGAGTTTCATATTGGGTCGACTGACCTTAAATTTTGATACAAATATAATTTTCTCTTGTCTTTACATACACCTATCATTAAATTAAAATAACTATCTTGGGTATACATGGGCAGTAAATAATTTTCATATCCCTAGCGTCAATACCTTCACTACTGGTTCTTCGTATGAAACGATAATTTTAACGCGTACCTTTCTGTCGAATTGGGCAAATAAGACGATAATAAACTGCAGTTCGACGATCGATTCTTTAAGCAAAATTTTAAGTATTAAACAAAAGAAAATCGTGAACGTTTAGATTATTGATGAACGTTTTATGTAGATAAATCACACAACACTATTTTATTCGAGATTTCAGACTCTAATTTTGGACTTACTTTTAACGGAGTGACTCCTAATACTAAGTGAGCAACATGGCTAACGATGGCTACAGGCAGACAAAACCATTGATAAATGAGATCTCAAGAAACTTCCCTTCCCATTTTTAAATTCTTTACCATACTATTTCCCCTCGGGATCGTTAGGTGACCAACTTAGTTTTCTCTGTTGTTCCATAGATTCTTGTCAGGAGGTTTAAAAGCAAAGAGCTATTGCCTTGAATGGTATGATCAGTTTACCAGCCTTTTCGACGTAATGGAACGCGTCGTCTGCGCAGATCTTTCAAGATACCATTACTGATCGATGTAACGATGAGATTTAACCTTTCGATTTCCCACTGAGTGATCAAACATTTACCATTGGAATAATAATCTAACCACGCTCCAGATTTTGCGGATCGTAGCTATCTTCATGTCGAGTTATTTCTGACGTCTCTTTATAGTTCATTTTGGCTTCGGCCTCGTCTTTTTCAATTCGTTTTTGTGCTTCTCTTCTAGCAGCTTCGTGGCAAGACTCCCAAAAGCTACTCAGAACACCTTCTTTATCTGCACAGAAGTCTTCCAGTTCACCCCGCAGTTTGTCAGCAGCTTCATTATCTCCCGTCGCCGCGGAGCGCCACCGCTTTGTCAACATATAGTTCTGCATCCAATAAAACCCCCAGGAAGAGCTCGACAGTTGCCCTTTCTCTGGCCTGGGTGGACCACTCTCGATAGGATCCTCGTCTTCGTCCCAGTTCAGGAGGATTCGGACAAAGGCAACTCCGCTCGTGTGCACGTAGTCGTTCTCTCGACACTGCACTGGTGTCACTTGCATCATCGGCGTACTCACGTGCGTTGAACCATAAGGTGTATCCCGGATATAACCAAACCTTGAAAGAAAAAAAATACACGAAACAAAGCTCAAGGAGAAAATCCTCTCCAGTTGAAATGCACCAAAAGGGCGTTCAACAACCTTGTTAGCCTTGTATCACCAATAAAAATTAGTCTATTGGGTTAAGTTTGGTTGAGTCTGTATTCGAGCTTAGTAACCCAGTCGGTGCTTGTTAAAAGTACTTCTACTACCCCTTGAATGGGATGTTAGCCCAACGCAAGATTAACCCCCCCCCCCCCAGCATTTCATCAGCCTTCCCTGACTATTCGCCAGTACTCATTTTTCAGGGTGGAGAGAGACAGTATGAAAGTGGAATGTTTTGCCCAAAAACACAACATATTGACCCGGCCTGGTATCGAACCCAGTCCTCTCTTCTCGGATTTCAGCGCACCGACATTCATCTCCTACCAATTATCCAATTATCAACACAAAAATCTCTATTCGGCTTGCACGTTCTTTTTCATCTTAATTCCCCCATGTTCCATGATCAAGAATCCTCTTAAAGTAAGGAAATAATACCAGAAGAAGAATATTGATCAAAGAAGGTACTCACCTTTGAAGAATGGCTTCCAAGAACAAAAACAATCTTCGACTTCGGGTGGAACATTCAAATTCTACGAAAATGATTACAAGTTGTTGTTGGCTAACTCAAGCAAACACAGAGTAAGATTTATTTATTTCGCAACAGCTTGTTTCTAAATCTTTAATTAAAATGTTACTTGTACCTTCAAACAGGCTGCTTGCGTCTGCAGTGCAGTTGGACAGATTCAGCTGAATGAAAACCGGTAAACGAAAAGGATCCACATTCTTACTTTTTGGATCAGGAAATGGACTTACTGGGACGGGGACTAGATGAAAACCACAAGACGGTGCCTTCCTCGACCAAGAACTAACCTGAAGACATGAGTGAGAAGCCAACTGAATCAGGTGCTCTTAGAAAAATTACAACATAGAGAATATTAACAATTAACCATTTAACTCCAAAGATGAGATTGTTAATTCTCCCCTTGGCTGCTACATATTTCCCTGTTATTAGTTACGAGACTTTGGTGTTAGATCAAGTTAACAACCTCTCCCTGATAAGTTTGAATATTCTCATAACCTGTTTGCTGGATGATGTATGGATATTATAGGGAGAAGAAACATGTTAATCGCCTCTAGGAATTAAAGGGTTAAAATGAAACTGGTTCCTTCTTTGCAGAATTAATTTCATTTCCCTACCATGTCGCCCACGATGCACCCAGTTGCCGCGATCCAATGAAGTTCGATCTCAAATGCATGAAGAGGGGAGAAGTTGCCGTGATAACGAACTGTGCAAGATTCTGGGCGTGGGCTCTTGTGATAAGGATCAGCATCTAACGTGACAAATTTATAAGCAGGATCGCAGCCATAACCTGCATAGCGCAAGTAAACAGTCAACTGTCAACTGAGGCACGTTTTTGGCCCAATCCATGTTTGAGCAAGGAGCTTCTGGAGGACTGGTTATTTTTTTATCGCCTGGGAGGGGTGGAAGGGGGGTATTGAAGCATTTTGGTTGGGTGACGATAAAAAATAACCTGCTCCCCCAATAAGGTTCTATAATGTTGTTTGCCCCACCCCCACCCCTATTGGCAGTTGCTCGGTAGTCACTTTGCTATAGCCCCCCCCCCCCTCGGTACTCTGGTGGCGACGAATGATACCCTCTCCGTTCCCCTGAACAAATGGGATCCTCCAAAATCTCCACCACCATCCCTCCCTCTCAGGCGATAAATGACTAGTCCCTAAATCCTTCCCAGTTTTTGATAGCTTAAGTGCAAAAAAATTCCCAACAGATACAAACACTATCTATCGTTTGTGGTGAAAACAGTTACAATCCATCATTCACTCAACTAGGCATGACCAATTGAAATTAATAA